GAGGAAGATAGGAATCCGCCTATACGAGCAGAGACAGGAAGTGACGAAACTGTGGACGTAACAGAAAATCCGCCCTCAATTTAGTTATCATGGTTAGGGTTAGCCTGACCTAAGTGCGTTCAAATCTAGGGCGAGGCTAACCTGTACAAATGATTGGGAAGCGGGCTCTCTACCATGGGGGACTCTGTCATGTTACACCGGTGTGACAGGAATGGCAGTCCGCTACGAACCGTAGTCCATTGCTAGTTCCCCATTACTAGTACTTTGTGCAGGTGACATTCCTCCCATATGCTAACCCAATCACACCGACCAACCCTAATCTGTACTAATTATATGGGACCCGTTCACTTTTCACCGAGGGAAAAAGCCCGTATATAGAGAGACTCTGAGTACAGGGATACCTTTAATGGTGTTTGAAGCAGTAGTTATAAAGTACCAAGTGTATATATGTATATTGTAAGCCGTCACTCTCAGGTTATTGTAATGATTCAAAAGTTAAACTGTAATTTTGGACCAACAGGCTCCGTCTGTGAAATGACTTTCAAAATTTACTTGCAAGCAGGTGTGAATAAGAATCATACAGTATATACATACATGTATCGTTAAAAAAATTAATTCCGTTCCTTTTTCCATTCAGTAATAGCACTAATACCTGTTGCTCACCTCACCCCCAATCTGCAATCACTACAAGGTAGATCTAAGTTTTGATCTCTGTAAAATCGATGAAGCCGGACTTTATTAGGGGCCTATTTGCATTTAGAAATTTTGGTTTAGATAACATAAAAGACTAAAGTCACTTTCTTTGCTAAGAGTTTTATTTTTAAACAGAAACTCGAATATTAAAAGGACAATGGTAACTGGATTTGCAAAAAATATAGATTTCGCATCTATGTTCTTAAATCAAGATATGATTCAAATAAATGATTATGATAAAAATTATGTTAATAAATTTAGGATCGCAGCGAGCTTTCCCAAATCCATGAACTCTGCGTACTCTTTCCTGATATTTTTTTGTGTTTTATGTTATATTTTCCATACTTTAAGAACATGTAGCAAACTACGATGCATATTATACACGGAGGGCGTGCACGTAAGAGACGATTTCATGTCGTCGCTGTTTAACCGCCGATTCAGGATCGCAGCGTACTTTCCCAACTCTATGAAGTTAAGTTTACTCTTTCTTACATTTTCCAAAATTCATGAATATTAAGCAAAATACGATGCATATTCTAAGCGGAAAGCTTGCACCCAAGATCGACGCTATGTTGCACATGATCCAATGTTGTTACCCAGTATCGTGGACGTGAATATATATATATATATATATATATATATATATATATATATATATGCTAATGACGCACGCAAACATGCACGTGTAGAATTACTTACAAATTATTCATGTGAAATAAACTAGAAAGCAAATATCAACCACATTTCTTTTTTTCATATAGTTTATTTTTGTCATACGTTCCTAATATATACATTATCACACTTCACTCATAGAAAAAACAACCAATCATCTGTATCATACTAATTCTTTTAATATTGGAATATTTAAAACGTGTACCAACTCTTTTCTCTGGCAAACTTTGTTTCAACATCTACAAATGCGTCCAGTATGGCGAATGTGTTACACAGTATAAAATGTCTAAAAGATATATTGTATAATATGACAATCACATAACGAGTATCTTTTAACACCTGGAACACAAAAAGGCCTACGTTAACCCTTCCGTCTGTACGGTGGAGTGATAAAAATTAGACGAGTATACAAGTACATGTTATGTATTTTCACAGGTATTCAATATCTGTTACCCTTGGTCCCGATTGTAAAAGTGGGGTATAAAGCAAATTCTACCCTGACTACAAAACTGCGCCCCTATTATCTTACACAGCATGCCTTCTTGGATTATATACGTATCAAAAGTAATATTTTGGAATGCAAATATTTAAAAAATATCTAGAGAGGATCATCTACTTAACGCGACGCCAAGCTTTCAATTTTGCTATTATTTCATAACTGAAGTGTTTTAATTGGTTATGTCATAACCATTACAAATTCCTAAAATAATAAATTTTTAATAAGTGACTGTGTGGTTTTTGTAAGATGAAAAAATCGTATACATCAAAGTGGACTTAACTACTTTGAAATGATTTAGTAATCGGATGTCTGGCATGAACATTGAATGCATAGTTAGTGTACTGCTCTGCAAGCACGTGACGATATAAACATCTGTGATTATACAAGTCCTGTAAATACACTGCGTCAACAAAAGATGCAAAATAAATCCTGTACATTGTGCAACTGAAACTATGTACTTTGGTCCCATTCAAAGGCGGATTTGGAAGGGGTGTGGTCTATACCCCCCCTCTCCCCATCCTGATTCCGCCGCTTGACTTTTCATTCGGACGACAAAACTTCGCCGCTTTGGTATCAACAACCTTCAATCACAACCTTTTCACAAGCTTAATTATGTCCCCAAAGAAACGTTTTTGCAATCATTTCTCCTCCAGAAATGATATTTGTGTGACATTATTTTCTTTAATTCGTTTGTTTCATATCAGTGGCAAGGCGAACGGTGCTCAAGGAAAAGTCTAGCACCCACTTAGAAAATTACATATTGTTCGTTCAAGGGTATTCAAAAACATGGCAGTGATATTAGGCATTCTTCTTCAACTGCATCTCTATTCTAGATCAGCCAAAGCTATAAAGCTAAGGAAATGTTATGTATATCATAGTTGTTCACTGCATAAGACAGAATAGGGTTGTATCTAAGAACGAAAACCAAAGAGAAAGTTTTTTCTTTCTGCCGTTAACATTCATTTACGTGTTAACATTCATTTACGTGATCTACTTGTAGGCTCTGTTCTCTAGAAGAGGCAATCGTCGCCGGTGCTGTGGCATTTCCGAACCTAAACCTAAACCGTCTAATCGAATGAATCTACACTATTCAATTCTTTAAGGTTTTTACATGAAATCCACAAAATTATAGCCTGGGGTAACTCGAGTTCCTTTTTTCTTGAATGAAAAAAAAACGCGAGGAGGAAATCCTATTCCGTTTGCTATGGCGTTATCCTATATGAAACAGATTGATATAAACAAAGTCTTAAAGCAGTAAAATAGTTTTTGATCACACCGTACTGTCTTCTTCCCGTTTTAGATGTGCCTTGGCGTGCGCATCTTCATCATCGTCGTCCTCAGGGAGAGGTTCTTTTTCCTTGTGGACCGTCTCAACGGGTGCTCCCGGGGGCTGGTATTTTCGTCCTTTGAAGCAGAAGACTTTTTTCTTGTAGCACACCAGAATCACGATTCCAGTCACCAGGAGCGGTACTATAACAAGGACTGCCGCAAGGAGGCCCGGAACGTTAATGATTGGGGGCCTGAAAAACACAAACAGGGAGGACGGTGCTAAACTATAGGTGGCGCTGTAATAGACCATGCAAGGAAAAGTCAGAAATCTAGACCAATGTATTCTAGGCTTTTTACTACTTTGGATATTTTCTATAGTTCACTCTCGTCGACAAGGCATTGCCATCATGCAACTCAATGCCGGTTGAAAACTTATCAAAAAATATCAAACTAAAAGCGAAAGGAGTAGGCCTACTTAAAAGGTGAAGAATTATCAAAGATATGCAAAATTCTTAAAGCATTTGGAGTAGACTTATGAATGCACATAAATGTCGAATATCATGATACGACAATCTTATTTCAAACAGCACGATGAGTCTGTTTAAAAGGGTCATCAGTGTTTACGTGCAGCGGGAAATAGTGGGAATTCAGAACAAACAAGTCAAGATTCACAGATTGAAGACCTTTTCACAACCTGACTGAGTTCTTACGCTTTGAGAGACAGGGCTGACAGACTGGTCATTACGTAAATGGCTGTCTGGCCTCAACCCACGCGCTCGACACGACAAGACAAATAACTTAACAACACAACGCCCACATGTGGCAAAATTAGGCCGCATTCAAAACAACGGACTAACTAGTCCACGGATCAAATATGGCGACCCATTCAAAAGCTTGCCTAAAAGACACTGAATAGACCCCCACACACGAGGATAATGCAATAAGCATTCAAGTGGGGCGACCATATTAGATCCGGGGACTAGTAAGTTCGCTGTTGAGAATGCGGCCTTACATGTTAGGACGTCTCAAAGTGTACCGGTACAGTTGCTGAACTTAACTGAACCGCTTGATGTAAAAAAGGTCTCCGTCGCCGAAAAATTAAAAAAAATCCGGTGAACACCTAAGCATTTGATACCTTCTGGTATCAGGGGCTTATACAAAGTTAAGTATCAGGGGAACAATGATTTTGTGACAGGCTACTAGCACACTTTGTGGTCAGAGAGTAGGATTCGTGTGGGTGTGGCTGAACAATCGAAGATTTTGTCAGCAAGAGCGTGTGAACATGAAACAAAGACGTGGGGGAATGGTATAATTACTAGATTTCGGGTATTATTATAATGTTCACACCAACGAAAAAGGGGGACGTAATTATCCCTCGCGCTTGCGTTTAACAACTCGCACTAACATTCATAGTGAGAATTAAACTACTCTTTCGTAAGTTCCATAATTTATTTTTATTGTTCTCATTTTTATCATAAGCTTAACTGCCTAAGTCGCAATGAATTCCGTATGGTTACCATTGCCAGTGGTTGCCATGCCAACCATACCGTGATAAAAAGAGTCCCGCGCTGAGAATATATATCTAGGTTTGATATCAAACAAGAAATACAAACTAAAAGTCTCTATCTAAACTTTATCAATGAATAAAACAGTTAGTGAAGAAACAAAGGTTTAAAAGGTCACAAACAAGACAATTTCATTAACATATTTATATTGACACCAACACTTAAAAGAAAAACAGTATTTGGCAATTGTGTATGTAAACAATAGATAATAAAATAGCAGATCCCTCAGTCCATTTTCATGTAAACTAATTATTTGTACAATTAGAAAAAATACTTTTAATATACTTGATCTATGATCACTTGTCGACACTAAAAAATAAGCAGGATGTAAAAAGAAAACTGTAAAACATGAAAAGCAATAGGCATATCAAATAAACAGTAATTTAACTTCAGGCTTTAGATGTCACAGGAAAAGATTTCCTCTTGCCCAATTTGAAATTATATTTAAAAAAAAATCCACAGGAAAATGAAAATAATTCTAGTCCAGCAACATAATTACTCCAAACATAATGTGCAAATTATTATGCAAACAATTTCATATCTTAAATGGAAATGAACAGATTCCAATACAGCATCACAAAAGTATTTTTTCAAACAGCTGTCTTTAAGAGATCGTATTTTATACAGTTTCATAACCTATTAAATGCCCATTAAATTGGCCTTAAACATTGACCGTGACTGCAAATTTGATGGATGAAAAACATTTCAAGAACACTGGTGATGACACAAGGTTAATAACAGTATTGCCAGCCTACAATATATCTACTTTCACTTTATCTACTTTCATTACGTTTCTGTGCGAAACAGATAAGAATGATTATTATATAACCATTATTCTTGCAAATATAAAAGTTATCTTAAAAACAAACAAATGAAATGCAAACGAACCACGACTACATTTTAAGGTGTATATACATATCAAACTTCCGAGCGCAGCACAGAATACGCTCATTGACCAGTTTTTAATATCAATTAACTTCCTTTTGTACAAAACGTCGCGTAAAAGGTTATAATTTTATGTTTTGTTTACAGGTTGTACGTGCTGAGATTAACGAAATTGGTGGCTTGATCAAATCATCTTTTAAGTTGCAATCTTTGGCCACCTAAACCAACCTAAACAAATTCTTTTTAAAAAAGACAAACTGTACGAAAATATATAACATAACTATGCACAAGTTTTTCTCAAGCACAGAAAAGCTCTTATATTTTGCACTGCTTTCTGAATTAAACTATTCCTTACATCCTTACGTATAAAGAGAAAATTATTTGCTTTGGAATGTAATGATTCGAGGTCTAATCGTCGGTGGGTTTGTTGTCTTTGCTATTGGACACAGCAAAAAATATCAATAAAAAACACGACAAATATAGCAAATAAACAAAACCCAAAGAGTGTGCACAAATACAAAGGCCTACAAGTGACAATTTTGCTAAAATCAAGCAATTTGAAACTGTTCTCCTTATTGCTATCTTGTGATTACTTTTTGATACAAATGTACATTTATGAACAGGAAAAAAACAAATTTAAACTTTGTAAACCCTGGATAAAAGATCTAATAAAAGTAATAAAATCTCCTTAAAAATACCGTAAGTTTCAACAAAGTTTAACTTTGTTATTTAGATATCTACCTGGATAAACAAATTTACATTAATTTATACATGTATAGAAGTCACTGACTCTACTGGCTGTTTTTGTTTTCACTACGAAGTTTCCTGATGGTCACGAAGTTAGGTCAAAGGCCACATAGCTAAGCTGCGCATGCTCTTTAAGGTTTTGCTCTGTTGAAACAACCGGATCGTTTCCGCCACATCACAACTAGCACAATCGAGGTCACAATAACAGCTAGTCCGACAACTGCCGTGGCGATAATGGCGGCGATTTGTTGGTATGTCAAATACACCAGTCCCGGGGGCCTGGAAGGGAAAATAGGACGCTGCTATTATAACAAGTTCGCAAGGGTCTGTTTATTTTTGTTCATTTTGATTTTTCGTTTAAAAATTTGGTAGGAGTTACATTAGGCAAACCTCGGTCGACGGGGTCTGGCATTGAACTTTCTTGTTTGTTTTTTTTTTCTTAAATCTTTGCGTTAATATCTGACGCAACAATTTGAAAACTCACACATAATCTGAGTTTAGTATTTTTCTCAAAGCTACATCTCACTGAATTTCAACAAAAATGGTGAAAGCGCAATTTTGAAGCAAAAACTGAATTTATGACTTACATTGGTTAAATGATAATGAATTGAATTTAATGCAATTCCTTCTTCGTACTAAATAAAGCCAACTAAGTTAGCCTAAAATAGTTAGACAGACCCGTGCGGACCGATAATAGCCTACTTCCCCTTACCAAAGCTGGGATATGACATGTCTAGATAGACACTTTTCTGCGCCTTACAGACTCAACTTCAAGGTGCGTTCGCATCAGATTTAACTTATTGCTGTTCGGATGCTAATATGACCATCATGTGCAAAGGCTGAGAAACCAGAAATTCGGTTGCCGTTTCCTCCCCCCCCCCCCCCAAAAAAAAAAAAAAACTATTCAATATCACAAAAAGATCTGCAGTTGGAAAAGAAATCGGTCGTCTTTTCCAACCAAATGAGTCGTTAACCATATATTTGCTTGGCGGTCATATATGAATACCCAGAACAGCAATGAAGTCAATATGGATTCAACGCACCTTGATAATACAGAAAATATTTGGGAGAGCATTAAATTAAACACCATTTTACTATCACATTCTCATTGCGTTTTTGAGGTTGAAAATTGTAGTTACCTGAAACATACACACGCGAATGAAAAAACATACGTTTTTATATGCAACTACACTTTTTCAAACAACTTTCTCGTATTTTGTATTTGGTAGTCAAACTTCTACAATTTTGTTTGAACTTCTGAAGCACTAAGCAGCCTTTAAAAAACTCTATAGCTGCGTTATCATCCGTTTGGACTTTTCTAATCATTTCTGGATGTAAAAAGGTTGTGAAGTTGAGCGAACAAATAATTTACCGTACGATTTTGTTACCAAGAACCGAGCGCTGTTGTTGAAATAAGCCCATTATCACTTAGCCCCGTTTCACTATACGATTTATAAATTAAAAATTGGAAGTTGATTTTACTCTCAAAACACATGACATAGAACGTTTAAGTTTAATTTCTCCCAGGAATAATCCTCCCTTAATTATGTATACCAAAACAAACAAACGTGGGCATAATACTTCAGCTACTTCTTTATAACCGATATTACCAAAATAAACAAAAAGGTGAGTTAAGACACCCATAACGATTTTCAGGGAAAAGCACACAGAATTCATAGGCGTAGAAAATAGAATCAACGACCCACTTTCTATCAGGCTCTGTATTACAGTAACACTGGCAGATCCGTAGCCAGGGTGGTTCGAGCGAACAGCTCATTTTGTCAGGAAAAGGTCCACTCTGGGTAAAAATTGATATCGGTACACGAAGGTTTTATGATAAAAGCTCCACTTTTTCAGAAAAAAGACCCCCCCCCCCTCGTGAAATTGCTGGCTTCGGACTGGGAAGTTGTAAGTATATTTAAGACACCGAAACAATGCCTTTGTTCAAACTTATCCATGTATTTCTGACTGAACATTTTAACTTCGCAAGGACAGCTTGGCATATTATCTGAGTAACCAAACTGTGTTTTGGTTTAAATTGCCAATTGAATAAGTGCACAACGCAGTCGAATATGACATTTTCTGAAACAGGGATTTCGATGAAGATTTCCGTATTTTCAGATAAATCGCATCGTGGCTTGGCATAATAGTTAATTACAAGGGTTAATGTACATACACAGTATGATAGAATGATAAGACTTTTGTTCAAGACTTCCGGGCGTGTTTTTCATAAGAACCAAGGGTAAGAGCTGGGCAAACAGAGACCCATTAACCATTTCTGTATTTGAAATAACAAACAGGGAAACAGTGGGAAAATTGCGACCGCTCCTGGAAATTGTAAAATGTCAGTGAAGAGGGTTTTGGTTATGGGTTGTGGTTCTCCAGGAAAAGGAGAAGCAGCGAGGCAAATGAAAAAGCACGAACTAATGAAACATGAAATTGCATTTACAACATAGAGAGAGAGAGAGAGAGAGAGAGAGAGAGAGAGCGTGTGTGTGTGTGTGTGTGTGTATGTTAGAGAGAGAGAAAGTTGATAGGAACGTTTTAATAAAAGAACATGACAGATAGAGAGTTCAAAAATATTAAAAGAAAATATACAGCTTGGTAATTGTTTTGATTTTAACGCAGGGACACAGCCAGTTCCACGATTTTAACTCTATCAGTACAAATCTAAAAAGTCTGAAAGTATGAAATCCCATTTTAAATGCCCAGACATCAATTTTATCTTCATCCCTAAAGGGAAAAAACGCACAACGACACACCCTTTACTGTGCTTGTTTAAAAGAATCACACGCATTAATAAAATTATGTCTACCGACAATTATCACACATACAATATACACACCAACCAACTTATTACCTCCGCCAAGGAGGTTATGTTTTCACCCCTGTTTGTCTGTTTGTTTGTCTGTCTGTCATCAACATAACTCAAAAAGTTATGGACCCATTTTGATGAAATTTTCAGAAACTGTCAGAAGTGGGCCAAGGAAGAGATGGTTAGTTTTTGGTGGTGATCCGGATCAGAAATCAATCAATAAACAATAATAATCAAAATTTGCTGCCTTGGCGGAGGTTTGCGCTCTCGGAGTGCTTTTCTAGTTAAATTTGTCATGTTTTAACTGCTTTCCTTTGCTCACCTGCATTGAATAAAAAAACAACTGAACAAACAAAGATATTAATAGTCAAAAACATATAACAGTGAACTCACATTTCAGTGGCATACGTTCCCTCGACGTCATTGTTAGTGCAGAGGAGTTGGTTGACTTTTGAACTTGCATATTCTTCCTTACAACAATATCTGGAATGAGACGATAAAATCAAATTCATTTTACTTCCTAAAAATCTTATTAGATAATTGATTGTGATGGTCGCATACGTATTGCATATTTTGCATCGCTTGGAAACATAAATATTCAAAGAATTTAAAATAATTTTAATTGATCATTTAAATTATAAGATCAGAACATTATAATGGCCAACGATATTCCGTAGACGTAAGATTTATCTTCAAGTTTGATGGGTCTCTGGCATTTGTTGTTGCAATGGCGAAGGAAGAAGATAATTAAGAGCCCATTCAGGACAGCTAACTAACTCATCCACGGATCAAATATGACGACTCACTTAAATCCTTGCCGCTTAATTCCCGTTTAGAAACTGAACAGATTCCATGTGGGGATTACGCAGCAAGCATTCAAGTCGTTCGGCTATATTTGATCGAGGATCTGCTAGTCCGCTGTCCTGAATGCGCTCTTATTCCTTGAAATGACTGTCCCCAGTGTTGTATATAAAACATAGGACGAAAACTACTAAGGATTAAACTCAGGGGCGGATTTAGGCCGTGTTCTGGGTCTTCTGGAAGACGGTCAGATTTTCAAGTTTACATTGACGGGTATCTAATTTTTTTCTCTCGGAAGACGGTCAAAAATAGAGGATGGATCGACAAAGATAATTTGGACGACGGTCAGAAAATAGCTCTGGATCCGCCCCTGAAACTGACATGCCTACCTGTAGTAACACGTTCCACAGCATTTTTGGTCTTGCGCACATCTGTCACCGTACAGTTTCTCGTTCTTTAGATTGTAGTAGTTGTAGCAGTCGCGCTGGGGATCAAATTTGATCTGAATTTGGGACGAAACTGAAAATAAAAATAAAAAGAAACATCTGCTGAGTAATGGTCTTGTCAAGGCAGTAGCTTCAAGAAAATGACTACTTTTGGGTCATATGAGACATTATCAATGAAGGTTATATCGAGAGCGTTCAATCAGTGACCGAGGTCCAACGTGGAAAGAAGCTGCAGGGGTCATGTTTTTATTTTTTCAAACTAAAAAAATCCCATTTTTGTTAACAAATTTTTGTTGTAAAGTCCACTGAAAACTGAAAGACCAATGAAAAAAATTAGTTCTTAGAAAGAAACAACCGAGGCTGATTAAAACTAGCATAGACACGAGTTGTAAAAGAAGGGGCGTGGCTTGAAAGACACATTCTACATTCATATGTCACATCAACCTCCACTCCCATTGGCCTTATAACCCAGACCCCAGCTTGGTCCAACAATTTTACCAGTGTTTGTAACATTTACTACCACCGTTGATGTTCAGCCAAATGAAAAAAAAAAACATTTTCGAACACACACACAAAAAAGTCCTATTTTGCCAAAGGGAGTAATTAATTCATGATATTATGTACGTGCATAAGTAGCGTTTTGTGCTTAGTTAAGCAAAACTCGTAATCCTCTGCCCCGGGCGAAAGTGACGGCTTTCCTGCGCGAAGATACATGGGTGAAAGATGTCAAAACTGAAAATCCTGAAAACGCAGCTTGCAATTCCTCATCGCATTTTTAAAAACATTTTGAAATAAAAGGGATCAAATTGAAGACTGAAAATCCTGCAATCAGGCATGATCGTAAAAACTTTCACCCGTCTAGGTTTATGTTCCAGAAGAAAAAAAACATTGCTGAGACGTTTAAGCAAAGTGTGAGAATGAAAATCACTACCAGTGACGGTAGAATTACTTTTACTTATATAAGATTATAGCACGACCTGCAATACATGTATATTTATCATTTATTTATGATATGTGCACCCTTATGTTTCTGCCTGCCCTCTCTATATATATCAAACCCACTTCGATCATTTACAACTGTCATTGATCTTTACAGACAGTTTTCGACGAATTCTTAAGGGGACATCAAGTGCCAGTCGAATTAAACCTGTTTTCAGCACTGGGACGCAAACAGGTGAAATGCAATTAAATGTCCATTTTATTCTCCACTCCTCTCTATCTACCAGAGATCGGCCAGGTAATGTGGTCTTTTTTGTGATTTAGATTCTCGCTGGATTCACAGCACAGAAATGTGTACAGGTGGTGGAGTGGATATCCAGAGAAAATAGCCTCTCTGTGACTCTTAAAAGGCTTCTCCTTCATATCAAGGACGTTTATTGTCTTATACGTCCTTGTTCATATCAACATGTAAGTTATAATTCATCCTGTTCTGACGTTTAAAAGACAAAAATATTAAAGTTAGTACTTCTTTTCTTTCGGACCACAGGGCGTGCCGGTAGCCTGTTACAAAATTATTCTTTCTCATACTGAAATTTAGTATTCTATTTTATGAGCCCCTCATATCAGAGGGTAGGACTTCATCACTGGGGGGATGACGTAGTAGGGAGATGGCGGGGGGGGGGGGGGGGGGGGACGATCAACCAGTCTACTCTCCGGAGTTAGTCTCAAAAAAGGGAGGGGGTCAGAAAATAACTCTATGGATGGTTACAGAAAATAACTGTATAGGTAGAACTTGCCAGCCACGGTGAAGTGAAGGAGTAACAAACTAACACTGTTAAGTGTTATCTTATCATCCTTTTCGTTTACCTTCAGACGTTAACTGTCCTTAAAATAGACTTTATAGAGCACTTTACGTCCTAAAGATAGATTTCATAGACTGTATTATAATGAGTATTGGAAATATGGCCAGTTACCAGACCTGTGGTCGGGATTGGGGATTCAGAGCCCCCCTCCCCCCCCCTTAAAGCCGAAAAAATGCCCTTGGAGTCAATACTTGATTAGGGGTCTGTGAAATGTGTCAAGCTTGGTCAATTAAAGGGGGGTAAAAGTTACATTAAGGAACCTGTCTTTATTGTTTTCGTGCATTCTTTTATTCTTTATGATATGATTAAAACATATAAATCCTCAGTTTAAAAATAAGATATGGGTGTATGTAACACAATATTGACAAACTTGCTTGTGTTACAGTTGAAATATGAAATATGCTTTCTATACTTCCTACTTATACATCTTAAAAAAAACATTCCAATTTGTTTTGATTCAGCCAGTGGTGAAAGAAAATAGCCAGGGCCCTTCTTGTGGTGGGTAACTTTTACCTCTGCATGTACATGTAGAGCTTCATTTATTTTAACCCCATGTAGAAAGTGTCGTTCCTTGTAAAGGGCAACTTTTTCACTTTTTCAAGAAGACACTCGTACATGAAGCATATATACATATAATATATAATAAAGCCCCACATCGTATTTTTAAATTGAGATTATAAATGTTTCGAAACCTCTCATCTTTGTTTGTGTTGAGAACACAACGAGTGCGAGGACATACCAATCACCTGACCAATCCTCAAGACAGGCCCAAGCTCCATTAGTCATCATTATCCTAATGCATTACTAGCATTTTTACAAAGAAGGATACTGCTGGACTTGGGGGCCCATTGTGATGGGTCCTAGCATTGGAATGTTTGGTTGTCAACTCAAAGTTCTTTATTCTATATGAATTTAATATGAGGCGCATCGAAATGGGAGTTCGAATGTTCGGGAGTTTTTAAACATCACTGCGGCAAAGTTACGTAAATGAGAACCCCCTCATCTAAACTGTCCTTTTGTGTTACCTCCAATTGTTTCCATTTGAGTTCTAAAGAACTTGTTTTAAATATAAGGGCTACTTTATAAAATCAATTGCAAAGTTTCAGAACTCTCGTTGTACTGTAGCTTGTAAATTTTGTTTTAGACAAGGTCAAACTTTACTGCACCCAAGCTTTGAAGCACATGTCCACATCTGCATTGTGCCATTGTGAATTCTTCGGATTAAGTATTAAAATCGGTAAATCTAACTTTTTACGAAAAAACTATCGTACCAGTATATATTAGTGCTGGTTACGACGCCCATGAAAGCCGCCTTATCATTTTATAACCCACCCTGCTCAACGAGAGGCCTTGTTTATTACGGGTACAGTGGTCGTTAAACCCCTTTAAATTTGAATTTTCTCCAACGCTGTGCCCTTTAACACCTGTTTACTTACTCACCTGTGTCTATTCCACTGAGTACGATCAGAAGAAGTGAAGCTAGAAGAGCTGAGATCATTCCTGAGAAGCGACAATTTCCGAGCAAGGACTCCATCTTTTTCTTTTCAAAGTCTTAACGTCTCTTTACCGAATCCTCATTCCTCTCGCATCCACAGGTAAATTCAAAATGGCGACAGGTTAAGGGGAAAGTATACATAATAGAGCCTCGTTTTGGTGGCCAGGTGGGGAGGCCCAGACAAAGACTTAATGCGTGCCGCTGACTTAATGTCAGCGCAGGTAAAGCGTGAAAAACGATCCTGTAAGCAAAAGAGTGGTGACTAATTACCGTGCTTTATTTGATTACCAATACCTGCCGACGTGAATATTTTTCTCTCGCTATTTAAACATTGTACATCCTTTAACTTTTTTATTTTGTAAATGTATATTACATTACATTAAACTGGTTTCCCATTCAGTCCATGCTTTCAGTATTTTTCCTGGGCTTTAAAAATGAGAAATAATGTAAAATCTAACCTTCACCTGTCGATTTAATAATGATCACGTGGCAGTGATTGTGAACGTTGGTCACGTACACAGGGGCGGATACAGGATTTTTTGAAGGGGTGGACTGCAGATGCGAAGCCGACCCTCCCTCCCCCCCTCCCCCACCTCTTGGCGTGGAGTTCGAGGCCCGCTGAAGGGCCCCAAAAATTTTGGTATTTTAAAGGGAGAACGGTAGGCTATCATTTGGTACGGTTTAGAACTCTGATTCATCTATTTAAAATTTTGATTTCAAGAGAGGACCATTGGTGTGGTTTTTTTTTTCAGAAATTGAAGGGGGACGGAGTCTGGACCCCCCTGACCCCCCCCCCCCCCCCTCTACATCTGCCACTGCGTACTGTACAGGTACATGTAACTGACCTTGACGCTTTACTGGTAATATCAATTGTCATTTAATCAAGTTCAAATTCCATTAATGATATTAAGAATAAACGCATTAATTAGACCTACTGTTTTCTCAAACGGATCAAGTCGCCTACACTTATTACAGGTGTCTTCAAGCTTTGGGGAATCTTTTTCAAAAATTTTAATAATACGCCAAAAGTTGATTTTAGCTTTTAGACTGAAATGTCAGCACCCCTTGAACCAATTAATGCCAAGTTGGTTGATATTTTCAATGAAATTACACTGTACTTAAATTCAGAGGAGCATTGCTGATTTAGATTGGGATCAGAAAAGACTTAGAAAGCTTAAAGTTAAAATCATTATTTTTAGAAATAGAACTTCTGCTGGCCTGTAAAGGGCGACCAGGTCCTGATTGCTACACATTGTGTCCGCACACCTGCCACAATCGTTATAGTTACCATCCGGTGCAGCTTTATCCTATATTTATTGGCGCAATTGAGACAATCGAGCATCCTGCGCACTTGTTTTTATTAACAAATACCATGCTGGCTAAACAAATGGAGAAAAAAAATACAATAAAGGTTTATTAATATACACAATCCCTTTTGGTGTGTACGTAAAATATGACATCTATATAGGTACGTACGTGCTTGGAAGTGACAATGTTATTTTGACAAATGAGATATACTGGTACATGTAGTTTCATGTAGAATTGATAAATTAATTGCCTCGTTTTGTCTTTTTAAAGGGAAGGATACTCAGGACCCTAGAGAGAGGCACGTACAAGAATCAATTTTTATTTCGGAGTTCGGTTGATCGAAACACATGTACACACTTAGTGTCAGAGTTCACTATAGTTCCTGACTTAACTGCTCTCAGCAGTTATATGTCGTTACCAGTTTAAGTGTATTGTACTGATGCATTTCCAATGATCTTTGAAACTATGAGTGATTCAAACACGATTTTTTGTCACCACATGGATGATTTACTAAGATTTGTGTAATGGCAATTTGAAGGGCTTAGCAAACTGATAAACGTATCAGTGAATGAACAAACACTGTAACAGTCATGTGCCCAAAACTAGGCGTTTCTTTTGAACGTGACAGTTGAATTTGGGTGACAAAACTTACGGTGTTTAGAAGCTAGGCCAAAAATCTTAATTTCTTCCATACAATCGATAATTGCTAGAAATATATTAATCAGAACCCAAGTGTTATCTAGATTCGTTAGATAACTTCAAGTGCCCCTTTTTCGGCCCCATACGCCACGCTGACTTCAGCCTTGATTTGACCTAATTTAAATCGCATGAAGGGCATGCATGTAAGATATCGGTATATGTATAATAGGCACATAGCTCTACAGGCTTTAGGTATACGGCACTTACATGCAAAAAGCAGAGGAAAAAACCTACAAAACGGCTGCCAAGAAGGACTGCATATTGTGAACGTTTGTAATGCGGTTTGTGATGTAGAGGCCAGTCTGTGTTTTAGATATCTGTGGCCTGTATCTCTCTCTCTACCTGTGTTTATAAACGATGTCGGCGGATTCGGTAACTGTAAGGTTGATGCAGCTTACAGATGTGGCGGCGGTGTGGCAGCTGACTAAGTTGGAGTCGTGGAATTATAGCATGGAGATGGTGCGGGCGCTATTCCAGGCTAACGAAGACGGCTCGTTTGTTGCGGAGCTTGAGAATAAGGTGGTAGGTAAGGGAAAGTCTCTCTCTCTCACTCTCTCTCTCTCTCTCCAAACACACACACACACACACACACACACAAACACACACACACACACTGTCGACCTTAAAAGGCATTCTCACTAACACCCGGGTGTTGCCATTCTCTACCAGGGTCACAGATTGATTTTCCACTATATATTCACATATACTGGTATGTCTTTGCTTTATTCATAACACAATTCTATACCTGACCCAGATGTAACTGCTTCCATTTGGTCAAAAGAGATAGGACCGAGTCGGAGAAAAGTTCAATATTTTTCTGCGGCCGTGGTGGAAGACAGGCTTTTGCGTGGCAGCATGTTGCAAGACGTGCAGTGCATCTCGCGCATGAGCATGCAAACTTACACGCTCTTGCGTGGCAGGTAGGTTTCTGATTTCACACGCTCATGCGTTCTCTCTGTCACAATGACATGCGCACTGAATGACACCCCCTACACACACACACACACACACACACACACACACACACACACAGCCCAACTAAAACCATCCCGACAGTGGGCAATGTAATAATCCATATCCAGGGGCGGATCAAGGATTATTTGAAGGGGGGGTCAAAGGATAAGAAGTCGACCCCCCCCCCCCCTTGGCGTGGGGTTCGGGGACCGCTTTAGGGCCCCGAAAAAATGGTATTTTGTAAGGCGAAATGTACCATTTGTTACGGTTTATTAGAACTTTGATTCAGGTAGTCAAAATTATAATTTCAAGCGGGGACCACAGGTGTGATTTTTTTCCATCGACGGGGGGGGGGGGGGGGGGGTTCCATGACCCCCCTCCTGACCCCCCTCTAAATGCGGTACCCTCTGATGTCAGGGGCCCACTAAAATACTATATTACAAAATCACACTGCTTTTCAACATTTTTGTATCAGACCACCAGCGAACCCTGTGGTCAGAGAGTACTAGTAGCTTTTCGGTGCTCAGATAACACCTCAGCAATAATGTACTCTCTGCTCACAGGGTCTGCTCTTACAATATTATTTTATGTATTTTGTGTACTATATTTCAGAGGCTCCTGTGACATCGGAGGGTAGCAATATTGCACTTAAAAAAAGAGAGACTTCATTTTTTTGTAGATCGTTTTCAATCAACTCCACTGCACAGTGGTTGGGAGTATTTACATTGATAATAGAAAATTTATCGTTTGTTGCCAGTTTATACTTTTTCACTGTGGTTGAAATGTAAATTATAAATGTATTTGCTATTTATTATATATACGCTCAGCCTAAGTTTTGTTACATGTAAGTTTCAATGCAGTAACGAGAACTTTATTTATTTTATTCATACACTTCTTCCATAATTTTTATCAACATGCTCTTTAAATTTTCATAGAGTCAACCTTCGGTTCAAAGCCTTTGTGCTGGTAGTGGCACATTTTACTAGCAACATGATCTAAATCGCTTTATTTGTTCCACAAAGATTAATTCACTCACAGGGGAATGGCATATTGATCTTATTCCATGATGTCTTTTTTTTCGTCAAAGGCAACCACCAAGAGTAATACGTTCATATGGTATTGAATGGGGGAGAGTGAAATGTTGTTTATTGTTATGATAACAGTCTGTGTAATTTTTTTTTATTTTAAAATCACGAGCCAGTCTGACAGGAGTGGTAGTCCTATGAATGGAACGCCGGGGGTCCCATGAGTAGCACAGGTTAAGGGGTTAGTCGGAGAATTGGGGATAGTAAATGGGANTAAAGGATTAGTCGGAGTATTGGGGATAGTAAATGGGCCGAATATCACCTGTACAAAGTAATGGGGAACGGACAACGGTTCTTAGCGGACTACCATTCCACAAAACGAAGCATATTTTCAGCAGGCCTCGTAGCCAGCAATTTTTTTCAGACAATTGGACCTTTTACATGTACCACGAAACCTTCGTGAATCTAGATCAATTTTTTACCCAGAGCGGATCTTTTCTCTGCTTCTGAAAGCCTTTTCACTTCGTTTTGAGTGCGACCGAATACACGCGAAAATTAATGCATTTTTTCAGTCACACTTATGATCCCCCTTTCACATCTTCGCCCTCCCCGATCTCTCTCTCCCCCCCCCCCCCCCCCACACACACACACACAAAGAACCACACTATTACTCTAGCACATGTATAAGTATACCAGAATAATTGACATGAACCCCGGAGAGCATGCATCGTACAGACAAGGGCAGCTGCATTCTGTTGGTTATAATCCATATCGTTGCTCATCGATACTTAAACATCACCCTATTGCTCTGTAAGCCCTTTGTTTCTTTTATTGAATTATTATGGAGCTTTAGGCGGAAAAGAAGCCGTCGGTGAATTCCCCTGGTTTTGGGTACTGGCAAACAGCCTGCGGCGTCCAATATGAGTACGTGTAAATATATGCACCCGTTTCTGCACTTTTTATTTATTAAAAAACCCATCAAAGCAATCTAATACAGGCCTTTACCGTTTAAGCCAACGATAACGAGAATAGAGTTTGTCGGTTGATAATAGTTTTACAATTTAAGGCTACATAAAAAGTGTAGCACGGGGTTGTACCTATATCTATAATCACTTATTCTTTTATACTATTTATTTCACATTTATCTTCTTTTATTTATTTTTTTTTTTCATTTGGCCATTTATCCATTTTGGAGGTTCTGTAGTAGCACAATTTACTAGCGACGTGATCTAAAACATTTCATTTGTTTCACCGAGATACATTCACAGGGGAATACAATATTGATCTTCTGTTCAATAATGTACGTTCCCAGTCAAAAGCAATTACCAAGAGTAATGGCTTCATACAGTATTGTCCAGAGATAGATACGGGAAAGTAATGTAGGTTACAAGGCTCAAAATTAGGTCCTTAGATTACAAAGTAGATAATGTTCTGGAAGTGATGGCATTCATCCCTTTTTAGAACACCCTGTCCACCATATTTAGACCCCGTTGACAAAACAGCGATTTACAAAAGCATATTTATAGTTCTTATCGTAATGGAGACAAAGACTGTAGATAGGAAGTCATTTCACTCGTAACAGTAAATATAGACAAATGTAGGCATTTGCAACTCGTAAATGTTTCTTGATCGCTGTTTTCTCAATAGATACATACTTAAAGAAGCTATGTGAGCGTGGCATTATACGTTTTATTCGGTTTTGAATTACATTCTGTATGACGTGGACTCCTCTCGCGGATATTTTGGCATATATTGGCGAGATGATAGTGTTTTATCACAAACATATAGTCAGGATAAATATAGAACAGTCAAAAATATTTCAACATTGGCCGAGAAGTCCCATAGTCAGACATGGAGGGCAGCGCATTCGTCATTTGATCGTCGATTTCTCCTAAGGATATTAGTGATTCAGTGCTCTTCGTCCCGTGTGGGACATAAGGCCACGATATTAGTGATTATATTGACTTATATTAGACGAAAAAGGGCTGCTTTTTTGCCCAAGGCTGATTCACTGATGGGAGTGTAGTTTGTGGTATGGTGACGATACGCGAGTTTATAAATCAACGGGTGCGGGGCACGAACACAGGGCATATCCAGGGGCGGATTCAGGATTATTTGAAGGGGGGGGGGCGCGGATGCGAAGCCGAAC